TGTACAACTTTAGACTTTGTTATGCTGTTGTATGGTGAATAAAGGAATTAGGCTTGGATGAGAAGATATCTTTGGATGTGAAAATTGGTCTTTTACCTTCTGGTAGTATTTGTGAGTAGTGTAATCAGAAGTGATCCTTTAAGCCACAAGTAGAGCTTTATTAGTGAAGTTGAGGCCGAAGTTTTAAACATGAAAACGTGTACATCGGATGTTCAGCACTGCTTTCCTTTAAGCCTAAAAGTTTGACAATGGTGTTTGGAATGTTGAGCATGATTCCACTGACTATCCAAACACCATTGTTGAACTTCTAGACTTACGGGAAAACGGTGCTGAACGTCTGAAGTACACATTTTTGCGTTTAAAACTTCGGCCTCAACCTCGCTATTTGACTTTTCTTTACTTATTTGTAGTTTAAGTTTAGCTCATGTGACTGTGCTGGCTTCAAGTAGCCCACTTGGCTGTTTGTGGAGTACTTTGTTATATAGTTTTAGGGGATGTGGAGTATCTTGGGCGCTGAGGTGCGAGCAATAGTGAGCACCAAAGCTCACAACTAGATGTGAGCCTTACAATGTGGATCATGGCAAATAGAGAGTAGTACTGGTACCTGGGAAAAACTGGATGCAAATATCTCATGAAGCGAAAAAGTCAAAAACAAATCATAATTGTATATACAAAAAAGTCAAAAACAAACCATAATTGTATATACAATTATGGTTTGTTTTTGACTTTTTTGCTTGTACAAAAAGGATTAGAGGAGTCTAAAATTCTGGGGGAGTGGGAAACCCATCATTGAGTTCACATCTCACCATCATGTGATCTCATGGAGAAAACCCAAAAGAAAAGTCTTGTGCATAGACTGGAAGTTGCTTGTGACATAGGATAGGTAATTGGATTGTAAACTATAACCAATAAACCTTTCTGCTGTGCACAAGGTTGTGTAGATAATTGAGTGATTTACTAATGAAGCAGTTACTTCATAAAGTGAGGATGTAGATATTTAGTCGATGTGTATTAACATTTAGGTTAGATATTAGGATTCACATATATAGTGATAAAGTTTGTATTTTTATAATTCTTTTCAATTGCATTTTAAGAATTTTTAACCTTTTACATATATAACTGTATGATATTCCAATTTCTATACTATAAATACATTATAAATTTTTGTCCAATAGTTTGCATAGTTTTTGGGAGTATGAAGAGACCTTTTCTTTTTGTGGTCTCAGCTGCTCTCTCAATCTGTCTTCAGTAACTATGTAGTAGATATTTTATTATTTTTTCTTGCAGGTTTAATTGCTTTACAAACAATATAAATTTCTTAATNTTTTACAATGAAAATGTTCATTTTTTAATGTTTTTCTGTATAATAATTTTAGTGAATCTGAAGATGGAATTAAGAAGAATTAATAAATTTATTCAAATCAAATTATAAAATAATATTATTATTAATTAATTTAATACCATTGAATATGCAATAGGAACTATATCTGAAAAGTAAGAATTAACTATATATTTCGTATAAAATATAAAATAAAATGTTTCATGTTACATCATGAAACATTTCTGTATAAGTACTAGTCAGAGAATACAAATTTTGGTAATATTGAAGTCCAAATTAATTTTTTTAATTCATGCTTTTCTAAGGATTTAAGATATTAAGGTAATTATTAAGTCTATATAAAAAACATTGATAATTCTTCAGAATCAACATTTAGTTTTCTCACAATGAATAAATACAGATATCCTCCATATAACACAATAGTTAGGTTCCAAAAAAAGTGCCATGTTATGTAAATCCAGCATGGATTTACATAACATGGCACTTTTATGAAACAAAGGACTAGTACAAAACATGGATTAGCAAACATATACTATTCTTTTTCATACCATAATTAAGAGAAATATGGTTATTAAAACAATTAACTAACAATCTCAATCAAAGTATTGCACATTAATATTAATATTTTCTTCACTGCTAAACAATATTAAATGAGAATATTTTTTTTTTTTTTGGCAAAATATGGTCATCTTCCTGGGCTTTTGTGTTAACCTTAATCTGAATTATCAGCAACATCTTGATTTTTCTGTACTTTTTTAATGAAATTTGATATTTTCATTTGCATAAGAGATTTTTAAAAATTTAATATTTTTATGTATAAACTTTTAATTTAATCTACAAAAACAAAACACAATGACAGTCTTTCAGGTTCATTTAGAACACTAGCACCAATGATAGTGATACCTGGTTTATAGGAAAGCTTTAATCAAAAGCTAGGACAAGAAGAAAAATTGTATAATCATTTCTCATTAAAGAAAACTGGGCAAAAGGCATGAAATATTGAAAATTTTAATATTTTAAAATCTGTGGATGATATGAGATAACATGCATGCTTTCTTGAATAAAAAAATATCAAATGACAGTGTTTGCACTTAAAAATTGTGACTTTTTGTACAGAGATGTCACCAATTCTCAAACTATGTTAGAGCAAAACCATGTTAAAACAAAACTGTGTTGTATGAGGGATACCTGTATCTAACTTGAAATAAAATAACATAGATAATATGCAGACTGTGTGTAGGAAATTATGGTATTTTAAATACATATCTGGAGTAAACATTCAAAATTTTATCAAAGAAAAATCAAATCTGAGTTAAGTACTGTATAGTGTACTACTAAGTCCCAACCTTTTTTGATTTTTGTACCCCTTGGCAGCCCATTTTTGCTAAATTTTATTTTGCATGTTCATCAAACAGTGATACTTTGGTCAATTATACAGTGCTGTATAATTAGATGTAAAAGTTTTTTAAATCGAAAAGCATTGCAGGAAGGATACAGATAAATAAATAAATATGTAAATATATTTTTATTGTAAAACTAAGCATCTAGTGCTGTGATATTGCCAAAGACCTGAACATGGAATCCGAATATTTTTACAGTACATCCACCATTATTAACTTTTTTCACATACCCCTAATCTTGGTTGGAAATTGCTGTACTATGTGATTTATAGTACATACATCACAAAAAATATATCTCATTTTAAATGCCATTAAAAATAAATGTACAAAATGAAGGATTCAATCAAATAGTGAGTTTTCCATTCCTCAGATTTGTTTTTAGTATGTCCAACCAGCCGATGACAACAGCTTTAATGTGGTACAGTACGTGGAGATTTTCCTATCATGTTTTACTTTCGTTGTTATTTTAAAGTATCGATAACTATTGAGTTTATTGTATTTTTGTGACAAACTCTCTTTATGTTGAGTGAAATAGATAGTATAAAAGGAAATGTGGGAAGTAAGAAGCCATAAGTTTCAGGGGGAAGAGAAAATAGAATAAACAGACAATTGATTTGTGTGGTACAAAAATTACTTTGCAGAGAAGTTCCTGATAACACAACTAAAGTGCAATTGCTAATACAATGGGACAACTAGATGATGACAGTTATGGCTCCAATTGTAGTTGAAGCACTAGGAGCCATTTCAAGAGATCTAGAGCAATACCTGAGGAATTTAGAGCTTAATAGAATCAATATCCATATGCTATAGAATACTTCACTAAGAACAGTATATACATTGTGTAAATATCTAAACATCTCAGGTGTCTGGAAGAGACATGATGCTTATAGAGATTGGATTCACCCATTGATAGCTGAGATGTGTTTATGTTAAATTATAATAGCTCTTAAGAAATATTTATAATTAAATAATTTAACAAAACTGGAGAAGTAACTAAGCAGTATACCTTCTGTAATTCCAGTAATATATTTAATTAACAAAAAATGTTTTCAACCTACTTCATAGGCCTTTTTCAGTTGGAACATTAAACTTAAACAAAAAAAAGAACATTCGAAAAACATATTAAATACAATGGAAATAATTTAAATTAAAAAAAGAATTGGAAGTATGTTTGTAAGGGATATAAGAAGTAAATAAATACATATTATAATTAAAACTTAAAAACATAAATATAAGCAAACATAAAAAATAAAAGTACAAAAATAAAATAAAAAATAGCAATAAAAATAAACAATAAACAATTATTGGGGAACAAGCTCAAGTTAAAGCTCATATAAATTTCCACACATTGATAAAGTGTCACCTATGATTGATACAAAAGTGTTTTTTATTAGTTTTAAAAATTTCTAATAACTCCAAGAACATGATAGAATTAGCTCTCCTGGTAGGCCTAATGATCTTAGCCTTGTCCCATTTTATCTGTATGTCCTGCTAGGAAGCATAAGCCACTAAGATCATGGTGTTGAGATTTTTCAACAGTGTATTTGTGTTTCTTAATTCTCTGTAGTATAGTGCATCCAGTAGCTACCAGATATGTAGTCATAATTAGAGAAAATTAATAAAATACATTCAATAAATTTTTATTGTGTGTATTTTATTATTCACATTTTATGAACAATAAAATATATCCATAGTAGAATATATTGATAAAGTCAGGCATGAATTCATTACATATTTAAAGAGATTTAATGTTATATTTTGCTGTCAGTATATTTTTAAACATTTATAATGAAAAACAAAAATGTTGGGAAAAAGTATCATTTTAAAAAAAACAATAGACTTTTATAATTCTCTGACTTATTTATGATATTTTTATATATATTTTTTTAAAATCTATTTTTCCTCCCATATTCTAACAAAATTCATGATATTGATGATCAAATTTTTGCATTAATATGATATTTCTCAACTAATAAATATTACTACTTTAACACCTAATTTAATTTTATTGATATTAATTAGTAGCATTATCCTTAAACACATTATTTACTTAATAGTAAAATTCACATTGTTTCATTACCGAAAAGCTAAGTTTGACTACATTTTTCAATAATTAAAAAGTTTAATCAAAAGTTTAGAAATGAATATCTTTGTATTTTTGGAGTTATTGATGATTGTTCTGTGAAAGACAGTCTTATTTTAATAGTTCATTTTTTTTTCTGTCAATAAGATATTTGTTAACAATTTAAAATTATTTTCAGGTTGTCGGAATTCTATAATTAATGTTGAAGCAAGAACTCTGAATACTGCCACTTACAACAGAAAATGTATTGTAGCTCGTTTATCTGAACTTAGTCAGACACATTACCAAGAAGTTATTCAACAAGGAGCTGCAGGATTACTGATACTGTTGCCTTCCAATATAAGTTCTTTGTCTGCAGAACAACAGCAAGTAAGTTACTTTAAATTTTCTATCCTTTGTAAATAAATTATCATCAAAAAAATTTATATACATTGTGAACCTTGTAAATTTATTTAAAAGTCAACCAAAGATTTAGATATCTGAAATATTAACTATAAAAGTACTATTAATCAGGTAGAATTATGTAATTTTACCTAAAGTTTGGCAATTAAGCTGCCATCTTATGATGATGATGATTATTATAATCATGATGATGATGATGATGATGATTATTATTATAATCATCATCATCATCATCATCATCATAAGATGGCAGCTTAATTGCCAAACTTTAGGTAATAATTATTATAATTATAATTATAATAATTATTATTATTTCATGTGTTCTTCAAACAATGGCATCTTGGTCAATTATACAGTTCTGTATAATTATGTGTAAGAAAAAGTTTTTTTTTTAAATCAAAAAGCATGGGAGGAAGGACAGATAAATATAATACAAATATAGTTATATTTTTACTAAAAACTAAGGATCGAGTACCATAATGTTGACATGCCAAAGTCCTCAATGCAGAATCTGAATATTCTAATAATAGTACAATGCATCCATCATTATTAATTTGTTTTGTGTACCCCAGTTGGGAATGACTGCTTTAGATTATTTAATTATGTAACTGCTTAAATCTTTGAATATGTTGGACTGTGGTTTGTTTATGTATATTTTTATAACATTGTAAACAAGTACATTTATTACAATTGTTTTGTATGTTTATATGTACTTATTATTGTATTTTTTTATGTATAACCTGTATTGGCATTTATCATGTAAAAAAAATATTTAGAATGGAAATGAAGTGTTTTGCATAACCTACACTACTATATACTCTGATCTCCAAGTGAGCATTGACATGACACCATATTGAGGTTTAGAAAATATCATCTTAAACATTCATTTATTCCTCATTTCTTTTGTTTTATTTTTGTTAAGTTTATTGTATAGTAGTTATACATATAAAATAAACAAAACAAAACAGTTATTTTAAACAGAATTGCTTAAAATACAAAATGGATGTGAATGACATTTTTTTTTTATTGTTTAATTTCTGTTTTATTTATCAAATAACAATAATAAATGAACACCATTACTAAACATTTAATTCCGGTAGCATAGCATTTAATACAATATCGAACTAACGCTTTCGATCTTACCCAAGATCTGCTTCAGGTTCTTAAACAAATTGTATTCCAAAAACGGAATGCATGGAACCAAATTATAAATGCATTAAAATTTAAAAATTTTGGATCATAAATCAAAATTAAACCTAACGGTAGCATTTATGTGAATTCAATATATACATGTAAGGCCACTCATATGTTCTTATTATTTGAGGATCCTGCGTAATCATAAATAATGTGAGTTGTTTAATTGTTACTGTTGCCATGATCCTTACATAAGTACCATCAGGCGTACAATATCATATTATTGTCCGTAACCTATTCGATGTTGAAATTTTTATTTGTTGCCTGTGACGCCATGTTGAATTTTCGTCAATGTAAAGCCTAAAAAAAATTTTTTTTTTAAATAATAATTGTTTTTACTGTATCGTTAAAAATTATTTTTTTTATGTTGCACAAACAAAATAAATATATTGAATAATATAGAAACAAAAAATTATATTTTAAAAGTTTGTTTTAATATAAAAATTGTGACGCATAGCGACATCTAGTATCAAAAACGTTCCGATGTAAACACGAAGATATTTGGGATCGCCCACACAAGTCAATGAGGTCAACACAAATATTTTCAAGAACAATGTAGGACAGGTTAAAATTGACACACTTGCCTGTCAGACAGGCCTTGTATATTTCTAGGCCTCCAGGGTCCTAATGTGGTCAATATGAAAGGACCGTTTTATTAACTTGGTGTTAGGTATGTCCATGTGTACTTCCGGGTATGTGGCATAGATGGCTAGGGCAGTGGTGTGCCTTTTGTTGTTGATATCTCACTTGTGTTTCCTTGCCCCTTTTTTGAATGGAACATTTGGTGGAACCTCTTACATTGAATCCCTGTGGAGTCTGTCAATCCCTCACTGGAACACTGTACATACCAGGGGTTCTGAGATCACCAGGTTTGTCCTTCACATTTCTTAATAACATAGCATTTAATACAATATTGATTGGGACCTTTTGTAAGCCAGTTTGATACCTGTTCTGCCCGCTATTTCCTTATATAAGGTATGTAAGTGTTGGCTGTATTCTATTACAGTGCATATAGAGTTAGGGTCCAGATTCCAAGTTCCGTTGGTATTCCTTTGGGTAGTAGGGGTGCTGTGTCTGGCCTGTTGGTTGGAGAAGGCACATGCTAAACCAGAAATTAGGTCCCTTTTGTATCCGTACCTTTTCTCAATGTTCTTGAGATGTTCTTGCTCCCTCACTGTGTCCTCCCATTTGGAATGGTGCGTAAACACCTCTCTGGTTAATTCACAGAAGGCTGCAATTTTGTATGAGTAAGGATCAGCTGAGTTTGTTGGTATGAACAATGGCAAGAAGCAGGGTTTGTAATATAAACCCGTTTCTACCAGGCCCCTGTTGAGATAAATGCTGATGTCTAAGAAGTGTGTGCTAGTGGTAGATTATTGATCAAGTTTAAGGGTCAGCCCATATGTGTTATCATTCATGCAGTTTAAAAAATTGTTAACGTTCGGCTCATTTTTCCAGAGGACAAACACGTTATCNAATAAAATAATTTTTCATTTAAAAAATAATTATTTGTATTTATGTACTTTTTAAAAATTAAGTAAATTTTATTTCAGATTTAATTTATTGTTTCTTCTGTCTGGTGGTGGAAAATTTAATTACCAAGGAAGTAAGAAATGGATAGAAGATAATATAGATAGTTCTGGTAAATTTTTTTGTGATTTATTCATTTTACAGATTTTTATAATAAAGATTAACTACTCATGCATGATAATTATTACAAGCATTTTCCTTTATAATGTTTTCTGGTTTTTAATACTCAAACTTCATAAAACATACACACATGTTGATTCAATGTTTTTCAGCTGATATTTATGTTTTGAACTTCAACTTTTGCAGATTTGATTATTTGTGAGTTTTGCAGTACACAGCAAAAAATTACGGTAACCATATAACTAGTAAATGTAAAGAAAAATAATAAAAAGTTTAGTAAGTCAGAAATGTATAAAATATATGTATTATTAATCTATTTTATCATTCTGTTGTTGAACTGGATGTGTTACAACTCAGTATTCCAGTGTCGATATACAACCCCACATTATTAGCTCTGGCCACTTTCTTATGTATTCTTCTTAAAGTTGGGATATAATTTAAAACTACTTTTTGTTACTGATCTGCCAATGTATGCTGACGTTTTGATGTTTGAATGGTTGCGATCAATTTCTGAATCATTTCTTTTGGATAACCCTGTTGTTCTGCAATCTTTAAGATGTAATTCAGCTCCATTATGGTGTCCTGTATCATGGTACAATGTGGGTGTGTTCTTATCAAGGATCTAAAGGCTGTGAATTTGATGTGAAGAGGATCAACAGAGTTATGTGGAATTAAAATAGGTTGAAAACATGGTTTCCTGTATACCTTGGTCCAAATTTTGCCATATTTGCAAGAGATGGAAATGTCCAAAAAGTTTACCATTCTTTCACTCTCCTGGTCGATAAGAAACCATATAGCTGTAATTCGACTGTGGGCATTTACTCCATCCCGTTAATTGACCAACGTTTTAAATCAACATGGGTGCCACTACAATATCTCAAAGAAGATAAATACACAATTGATAAAAATCTCAATTAATACAACACTGGCAGCTTACTTGTAACATAAGGACATACAAGTACAATGGGAGCAGGCAACCATCATCAGACTCACATCTAATATACATACTATGAGATATCTGAAAAAATTGGAAATTTTTTAAAGTGCACAAAAATGGGACATTTATTTAAGGGACATTTATTTGTCTATTTTACTTTTTATTGTATTTTATTTCTGTAGTTATTTATTTATTAATCTCAACTATGATTTCTGTTATTTATATATTTATTTTAGAATTCTTGTTATCATTTATTTTTAAATTTTTGTATTCACATTCTATTTTATCGTAATTGAAGATGATCAGTTAAACTGATCGAAAATGTTTATATTTTGTAAATTTTATTGCTGGATTTTTTAAAGGTTTGTTTTTTGGTTGTAATCTGTATATACAGTTGATACAAAATATATGCATGAGATATTCTTTGACATTGTCCATTAACTTTTAATTTTGTAATTACAAAAATGAAACATTTTGATATAAGATGGTACAGTACTGTACTTTTCTGAGTCAGTAAGAATTCTTCAAAGTCTGAACTGGATGACCATAATACTAAATATATAATCTCCTCAACTCAAGATTAGTCCAGCAGGCATCACAATTATCACTGATCACTAAATTTGGTAAATTTTGAGATTTGTCATTAAAAAAATAAATAAATAGTAATGTCTACTTTGTATGGTCATGTTTAAACTTTATAATTCCAACAATACAATAACATGCATTTAAATTATTAATCTAATGTTTCCTATGGCAAAAATAGTTGCTTAAATTCTTATCAAAAATATAAAATAAGAAGAATGAAAATAATTTTGTAAATTATCTCATAAATATTTAATTCCATTTTATTATTCATTGTTTACATTCAGTAATTTTTTGTTTCATTGCACAAAGATATAACTTTGATAAATTGCACTTTATGTTTACTATTTATTTTATATTTCAATATATTTATTATGAATTACTTTTTATTAAAATGACTTTTATGGGAACTTCTTTTATTTGGATTACTTCTAATTAATGGATAATACTAAAAGAAAGTATTGCTGATTTATATTATTATTTAACAGCATATCATGGAACTAGAAAGAACATTATTAGAAGAAGAAGTGAATATTCCTATTTATTTCACTCAAGAAACACCTGAAATGGAAGAAATTTATAACAGTGTTCAAAAATCACCTAATAATGAAAGAGCTGGCACTGCAGCTGAAGGTAAATATAATACTTATTTTAAATTAAAATTATTTGTCAAATGAGAAGTTTCATAACTTACTCCGATTTTTTTTTATTCTTTAACATATATGCACTTTAGCGATAATAAAAAACAAGTACTTTCAATGTCACATAGACGTCTTCCTCAGGTAAATTAGGACATTTTAAAAATACCATTGTAAAATTCGATTGGCCAAAAGAACACAATTAAATTTGTAAATATCAAAATTTGAATGTAAATATTAATTGAAATATATTGAATGTATAATGATTTCAAAGGTGGATAAAAGAATGATAAAGTAAATTATGAAAAATTGGGAATAAAATGTAATAGGAACAATATTTGGTGCAAGGTATAGTACTAATCATTTAAAAGCTCAGTGTTATCAATATGTTTGGGATTTCTAGAGTAGGTTTGTTATACGGTACTAATGCAGAAATATATAATGATTTCCAGATGAAGGTAGATTTGCACTCAACACATTGTGTAATGATGTTTTTGCCCTTGAAGGGCCAAAACATCTTTACTCAAACAATGTGTTCAGCACAAATCTCTTAACATGTATGCAAGTAGACAACAGAAAATATTTTAATATTTGCAATATTTAAGCAAATTATATTTACTAAAATGGATTTGAGTATTTCTATTCATTTTTATGAGATTCATAATTGATTTTAACAAAATAATCAAAATCAAATTATTAATGAAAATTTAGAATGTTTAATATTTGGTTAATCAACTAAAGTAAGAATTTTCTGAAGATGAATAGAAATTTTTAAATATTTGAATGAATTAAATTTATATGTAGTACCTATACTACAATCAAGAATATTTTGAATTATTTGTAATGAAAAAAGTGGACTGTTGAAGACATGTGTTAACATCACATTATCATCAGGTGCAAATTTAAAATTATTCAAAACTTATGTAACATTGCTCATTATTTTAAAGTATCATTTTTTATTAAATGTTCAAAGTACCCGTAATACAAAATTTCTTTTTTCCTTTAATATTGTATATTTTGGAGATATGAAATGGAATTTTTCTTATTAAGATGTTAATTTTTCTCTCTTTTCAATCTGTTAATATCTGATTTTTCAGAAGAAAAACTAATTTTTATATAGAAATATGTTTTTGGCTTAAACTCTGTTCTTGACTATAAATATCATCAGTAAGCAGTAAAAATTCCTATCTGTTTTATTTTTTTTCAAAGTATATGATATTTTATTTTTTTGAGAGTTATATGATATTTGATTTTGATGAATTGATATGAATACAGTAAAACCTATCTAAACAAACCTGAATAAAACAGAAGTCTACCTAAGCAGAAAAAATTCTTTGGAATAGTGATTTTCTGAGTTAAATTTTACTAAAACCCAGAAACTTATCTAATGCAGAAACAGAAGAGGTTTTTGGATATGAAGAACAACATAACTTGGATAAAGTGGAAAATTAAGATTTTGCTTGTAGAAAATAAGTAAAATTTTATTCAGGTATAACTCATCACATAGCCCAAGAAATGTATTTAAAATGGTTTTGAACCTTTTCAGAGACTCAGATGTATCGTGACAAGAGGGACATTCTTGTCATGAGACCTTTGAGTCTCTGAACTCAAGATCTTTGTTCATTTTAGTCTTTGTTGGAATTAACCAGGAGCAAAATTGAATACTTTTAGTTATTGAGAACTTTCAAGAATTGAATGATTTTTCAAGAATCAAGTTCTTTAGAACAAGCAACAAATATAATTCGTGAAAAACAATGAGAGTAAGGTAATGTTGTTTGCTGGAAGCCTACAAAGTTCACTTGTGGCCTGCATCCACAAAAGGTTGTTCATCACTAGTATAAACAATACTTTGTAAAATAGAAAATCTAATATAATGGTGCTTCATACTTTGAATTTAATTCATTTCAGGAAGCTGTTTGAACTCTGAATTGTTTGAAGTTTCAATCAGGTTTTTTTCATTAGAAATAATGGAAAATGAATTAATCCATTCCCAGACCTTAAACAATATCCATTTCAATAAACTTAAAACAGCAAATATACATAATTTAAGGTAAAAATAACACAATTAAATTCCCAAATAATAAATTAAAGCATGAAAACAATAAATAAATACTGTATAATAATGTAAAGATTAAAATATTATTTAATTTAATGCAATTTAAAATAAACACACACACACACACACACACACACACACACACAATGACACGTTTCGTACTTCCAGCAACTTTATTTAGAAAATGAACATTTCAGCTTGTAAGATTGTATTTTTTTGTTTAACTTGCTCTAAACTTTTTTACTGTACATTCTGTTTGAATAAAATCAGTATATCAGGCATATTATGCATTATGGTTTTCAGAAACAATCTAACATTATACAAAGAGTAAAAAAATAAAATACAATAAAAATAAAAACACATTGGGGAGGATACGCCTAAACCTTGAACATGTCAAGTGTGGTTTAAAAAGTTTTGTTCTGGAAATTCTGAACTAAAAGATATAAAACATATGGGGTGCCCAAAAACTGTGGACGAAGAAAATTACAGGAAGAAATTGTTAAAAATTGACAAATAACATACAATATATTTAACCAAACATGCTAAAAATAAAGAGAAAAAAGCTGAATGCAAGAACAAAAGTGAGAGATGGCGTAGGTGCATAATAATTGTGTTTACACTTCAAGTGCATTTTTTCACTTTGAAGCAAAATTTTTTTGAAATTTAGCATTCAAACTTTGAAGCATTGAATTACAAGGTACTACTGTAATGTTATCATATGGGTATATTTATCTTTTTCTGAAAAGAATATAAAATAAAGATATACAGGAAATGCTTGTTAGTTCAAAATTCAGGTGACAAAATATTCGTGACTTCGAATTATTGAATTTAGAATTATCCGAGATTTACATATTTCTGTACAATATCCCAAATGCCATGTAACTGATGTAATTTATTAAGCAAACGGAATATGGCTACTTACACAGAATGCTATTTTTGCCAATTAATAATGTATAATAATAATGATAATAATATAAATAAACAGCACATGTCTGATGAGAACCTCACAGGTAGGTTCACGGGTAGTAAAGTGGCCCAAAAAGTAGTAGTAGCCTAGAGCCCTACAGATATCTCAATCTGATACTTGTAGCCCAATTTTGCAATCCCGAAACCCATCTACATTTTATGAAATAAGAGAAAAAAGTGATAGTCCATATGTAAGGTGACAAAATATGTTGTTGTAAAAGCAAAACCATATTGACCAGATTAGAGTTGCTCTTGGTCTATTGTTATTTTATAGTATGGAGGCACTTCAATCTAAATGAACAATTTAACATATCAATCACAGATTAGACAGAATTTTCATTTTGAATTATGAAGTAGCCATATTTCAAACTAATCGAATTCATTAACACGTAAATGTCTATATCCATGGCAGGGACAAAAGTATAGTTACAAACTAGTGGGATTTCAAACTATTAATAAGGATTTTCTGTATATATTTTCTTATATTTATCTACATATGGTTTCATAAAGGGTTGTATTTTAAATAGATTTTAAGTAATAAGAAGTAAAATATTAATTTTTAAAATTTTATTAATTGAAAGTTTATTATTCAGAACTTATAGGTTCTGTTACAACAAGTGGCTTCCAAATGGTTATAACTGGAAGTTCTCCTAAACCACAAACAGATGTGCAAATTGCTAGTATTCAGGTAAAAAATAATTATATTAATATTTTAATTTTTACATGTTGTCACTTAATTTCAGAAAAAATTATATTATCACTTTATATTTCATATTAGGGTAAATTACCAGGTTTTGGCGTAGAAGAACAATTACCAACAGTAGCATTGGTTGCACATTATGATGCATTTGGAATTGCCCCAGTAAGGACAATGTATTTAATTCTTTAGTTGGTTCAATGGTAACAAAAAATAATTTAATGTATAATAAACAGAAAATAGACTAAATATTTAAATTATTGCTATTTTACTTATTTTAGATTATGTTTTAATTAATAAGATTGCACTTTTAATTAATTTTATTAATTTGAAGAATTAATAGTAAGCCAAATGCTACTGGACTTATTGGTTTCTAATTTATTTATACAGTATACTGTTTATTAGTGTCATTTGGAAGTAGTATGGTGCTGTTTACTTCTAGTATAATAGTTTCAAATTACAATAAGGGACTGTCTACAAATTACATTTGTATTTTTATTGAAATTTTTACTCTCCCTCTTCCCATTTTTCCCAGTTTGTCCAAGTTTCCATAATGAATAAAAAAATTATTGAATTACAACCTAATAAATTTGATAATATTTGCCCAATTTAATTTTTTCAAAATTATTCCAAAGCTCATTTTTGCTTTAAAATCGGATTTTAATATTTTAGACTTTTAAGAGTTAAAATATTGATATGTAAGCCATGATTGTTATTACTGTATAAAGACTGAGCAAAACCTGAATTTTATATAAGTCAAACCATAATTTAACATGTACAATTTATAACTATGGTTTGTATTTCTTACAGGGAACATTTATCAACCACGTAGTCCAATATTTTGAAAATTTTGATCCCCTCCTCTGTCCTGATGTTTTGTTATTTGTAGTTTCTAAGAATTTTTTATTTATAGAATGCATCTAATGTTGAACTGTGTGTTCTTGATATAAAAACTAATGACTTTTATATTTTAGTCTATTTTTAAAATTAAAAAAAAAAATTGTAAAGATGACTCTTTTTAAAAACACAGTTGAACCCATCAATCTCAAACATGTTTATCTGAAATAATTTTCTCCCAAAACTTTTATCTCAAATTATGGACTGAAGTGTCAATTACAAATTCAAAGCTCAGCAACTACATTTTGATAATATCAATTGAAAAATATTTCGTGCCATACTGTATGTAGTTGCAATTAATGCTGGGACAAAGAACAAGTTTTACTTGTTCTTTGTCCCAGCCATAAATGCATCCAAGTCAGGATTCATTTATGTCTGTTGTTAAGCTTCAAAAATTGCCCACTCAAAGAAGTCAGGCATCAGAAACTATTGACAAACTATTTGTGCTAAGGGATGTCAAAAGTATTTTACAGGTATGTACTGTACATGCTATTGTGTTCACAAAATACTGTACCTCCAGTCAAACCTATTACTATTTACTTTACAGGAACATCTATATCTAGAATGCTTCTCATTCCTGTGAGATTTGAGATAGACAGGTTCAGCTGTATATTTATAACAAGGACCACTTAAAACTAATAGTGTTGACTTTTATTTGTGGATTATTCTATCATTCTTCACTTTTTTAAATATTCATGTAGTTTAAAAAGACTAGTAAACAGTATATAAAAATTTGTGTCATATCACCTTTCCACACAAGTGTAATATACTGTATGTCAAACTCCTTTTACAAGTCATTCAATTCATTGGTTTTACTATGGCAAATAACTCTAGTTGGCTCTGCTGATCAAATTTAAAACTTAACTTTATAGAAACAAAACAGTTGGAAATTATACTACATTTATGCTATGAACTAATTAAGTTAATAATAATAATATGGTACATAATTTCTGTTTTGTCAGTTTATAAAGTTAATAATATAAACTATTAAACTATTTTTAAATAGGCATTATCATTTGGTGCTGATTCTAATGGTAGTGGAGTGGCAGCATTGTTGGAATTGGCTCGGCTTTTGTCACATTTGTATACTAGTTCTCGTACTCATCCAAGGTAAAAATATTTTATAAAGATTATTTATTTAAAAAATGAATGATTTATAATATGTTAGAAATTTGCTGTATTTAAAGAATTCTAATATTTGTAATTTTATTTTTAATTAATTAATTTTTAAAATTATTGCAACTTTTATCAATTACAGAACGTCTTTACTTTTACATATTGAGATAGTTCATTAATTAAAATATATGGTCTGTGCTACAAATATATTTAAATGTGTTCAAATGCTAGTATTAGTGATTTTTGAAGATTTATCTTCATTTTGTTTTAAACATTTTTTTAATTTATCTTTTCATTAATTTTTTGTCTGTGGATAGTTTTAATTTAAAAAATATAATCATTTGTTTTCAAACAAATTTATTATATAAAATTAGTCTGAATTTAATTTATATTCAGACTAATTTTATATGATGAATTGTTTGAAAACAAATGATCATTTTTAAATTAAAACTATCTACAGACAAAAAAAATCATATTTTTTCCTATTACAATAAAATAATTTTTCATTTAAAAAATAATTATTTGTATTTATGTACTTTTTAAAAATTAAGTAAATTTTATTTCAGATTTAATTTATTGTTTCTTCTGTCTGGTGGTGGAAAATTTAATTACCAAGGAAGTAAGAAATGGATAGAAGATAATATAGATAGTTCTGGTAAATTTTTTTGTGATTTATTCATTTTACAGATTTTTATAATAAAGATTAGCTACTCATGCATGATAATTATTACAAGCATTTTCCTTTATAATGTTTTCTGGTTTTTAATACTCAAACTTCATAAAACATACACACATGTTGATTCAATGTTTTTCAGCTGATATTTATGTTTTGAACTTCAACTTTTGCAGATTTGATTATTTGTGAGTTTTGCAGTACACAGCAAAAAATTACGGTAACCATATAACTAGTAAATGTAAAGAAAAATAATAAAAAGTTTAGTAAGTCAGAAATGTATAAAATATATGTATTATTAATCTATTTTATCATTTACTACCATAAATATATACATAACTTTATTATAAAAAGTTTCAATATGCTAAAGAACAGCAGACTATGCATATTACTTAGAGGTACCATACTCTATCCCAGCAATTCCCAACCCTGTGTAAGCGATAGGTTGTTTAGGAGTACAGAAAAAAGTTAGTTATTATGGCAGAAAAAAATAATATATTATGTATCACAAATTAATAGTATTAAAAAATTATTAGGTAAAAATTGTTCCTTGCAACAATCACAAACTTTATTATACATTTCAAAATGCAAAAATAGAAATAAAAACTTATGCTGCCAATTGTACAATGCAACAGATTAATAAATGTTTCGGTCAATAGTAGTGGGTAGTAGTCAATACCATTATGTGTGATTATGCTATGGACTTTTGATGGTGGGGTGTGTTACTGTTATTATTATTATTTCTCAACAATATCCCCACGTGTTGTTTGAAAAGTATTCTTTTGTTTATAAAAAGTATTTTTTATTGTTAGCAAGAAAAAAGACTTAGCTAGTTCCAGATTTTCTCTACAAGCTGTAATTTTTTTCGTTATTTATTCAGTATTTTTATTAATTTTTTATTGACAAGACTATGTCTTGTTTATAAAATCATACTGCCTGCTGTGTTACTGGCTTAGAGACATGTCAAAAGTTGCAATTTGGCACAAAGTATTAGGTACCCAAATCATGCACGCATAAAAAAACCAGACTTGTAGGTACTAAGGGGACCGAGAACCAAGTCAAAATAAAATTCAAAATGGCGACACACTCTACAAACAGGCAGTGCGAGATTTGTGCATGCATTGCTTGTTGGGAAGTTGGAAATGCCATGGGGTACGCTAATGAAAAAAGGTTGGGAACCGTTGCTCTATCTCATTATTAGTAAACTTAATTGGTGTATTTTGTCTCATTCATACATTGGCCAAGATTATAGTATATTCTTAGAAATATAATTCCTCACTGAAAAGTAATATTGAATTGTATAAAATAAATTATATTAAATATAGCAGTAAAATTTTATGTTTATTATAATTTGATAGATTGTTTTTTACTGTTGTGTTTTTTTCTATTATCTATACTAATATTATAAAGTGGTAAAGTTTGTAAGTTTAGATGTAGGAGGTAATCTCCGAAACTACTCATCCAATTTCAAAAATTCTTTCACCAATATTTAGAATGGACTTTCAGGGTGGACATAGGCTGTATATTATTCCGTTAAACATTCATATAAATTAAATGATATCATCTAGGTAAGTGTTATATTTTTGGTGTCAGCAGGTGGTGAGGGGCAAGACGCGTACGTATACGAGATAGGTAACTGTGTGGCGCAGTCGTGTGATCAGCAAGATACGCAGTGCACGTGTACGAACTTGTGCTGAACATCTGCTTATTTGTTGTTGCTTAAAATAATGAATATCTTTTGTCCCGTATGCGTTCCTAAAACATTCATATAAATTAAAAGATATCATCTAACTGATACTGTTATAGTCACAAACTGAATTCCATGCAGGCACAGCTAGTGTATCATATTTTTATTTTCTATAGTTTTATTTTTGATTGATTATGTTTAGAATACTTAATTAAAAGTGATTTCAGAATGATTTAAGAAATAATATAAAACATAAAATCATTATAATTAATATTCTTTATTTTCATTCATTTTTGGTTACAAACATTCCTAGTGTTTTTTAATTGCATACAAGTTAGCATATAAAAGCAATAAAACAAGAATCTGTTTCACAATGTATGTACTGTACAATATAGCTGTCACAAACAATTAATGCTGTTCTCATACAGAACTGAAGAAGTAGCAATTCCTGGAGGGTGCGGATATATGACATTCTTATGTTCATGTTGCACATTTCCTTCAAATCATTTTTTCTTGGTAACATAAGTTGACTATTTTACTGTTACAGCTAACTTGTGACTTTCATTTAGCCACTACATCCTAAGCCTAGTTGAACTTCTTTGTTTCATCTGAAGTTGACTAACTTCAACTTCTCCAAAAATCTAGCTTTTTATTTCTAGAGTACATCTTATAAATAGTTCTTATTTTTAGTGCAGATTTGACTTTCCTGAGTCACAAAACAAGTTTGAATAACAAATCCTTCATTATTCCCCTCCAAGTTTAGAACTTCTACAATATTCAAAATGAACTTCAATTTAAATCTTCTCATCATACTACTCTATAAGAGCACATTCCAAAGTCCACATGAAATTTATGCAGTTTGGTCCAAAACATTATATATTTAAAAATTACACATTGTTTGTTTGATTAGTTAATGATCCTGACAATTACCATTACATAGATTTTAGATAATTATAAAATTATTGCAATCATTTAGATGAATTATAGCTTTAGATCAGTAGAGAAATATAGACATTAATGTATTTCTTAAGTAATGTATTTTGTATACCTGTTTGGAATCACATTGCTAGAATGCTATTTATTCATTATTAAATTAATGTTTTTGGGAAAAATTACAATTATTTCAAAATATGCTTATGTTCTTTTATTGCAGAAGGCAGTTTATTACCAGATTCTCTGTATACATTATGTTTAGATACAATAGGAACGGATGATTCATTGTATTTACATGTATCAAAGCCACCTAAGGATGGAAGCCCAGGATCATTTTTATACAAGGTATATTAGAAATATTTAACACTGTGATGAAACTAATTCACATTTTATCAGCGGTTTTGTTCTTTTAACAAAGTATAGATTAATTACACAATCTGTATTTAATAACAATAAGAATAATTTAAAAGCAAGATTTGATAATGAATTAAAAACAGCAGTGTGCTTATTTTCCTTATTGCAAATTGCAACTTTTATTTTATTAATTTTTTTATCTGAGGTATTATCATATTCTTGAAAATTAGAGAGATTAGAAATTTTTATTTGTAAATTTGTAATATGAAATTAAAACATAGCAAAAAATAAAATAAATAATTATGTTGTGTTTAGATGGATGTACTGAAGAAAATTATTGGAAACACTTAAAAGATTTAATATGATATTTATATTAAAATAAGTCATTATTAGAAAATTGAAATATTACAGAAAGGTGACTTTATTTACAGCATACACTGAAAAGAAGCTGACAAATAAAACAAATTATCACTAAGAATAAGAAATATGATCACTAGCTTAAACAGTCCAATGCAGGAGAATTCTAAAATTTAATTGTCATGAGTAGTGCATTCACTATTTGAATATATTTTCAGGCTTTACTTGATTGGTTGATGGCCATGATAGAAAAAGTCCATTTTAATATATACAGGGTGTTTTATTTAATTTGATACTGTAAAATATCTTGAGAAATATGCATTGTACAAAAAAATATTTAAAATAAACTCTCAGTATTTTGGGTGGGGGGACAGTTCAACCCCACAAAATTTAGCCTCCCTGCCACCCCTGGTGGTGGTGCAGGGGACAACTTTAAATTCAAATGGGAACTCCTATTTTTCATAGCAGATTTGGATTCTATGTTAAAAATTATGTATGGTTTATCTGGGACAATTTTTCAAATTATAGTAGATGGCATCGTAATCTCTGAAAATTAGTTCTTTTTTTAAAAAAACCTGTTTTATTGCATAATGATTCTAGACTGAAAGAAAAGTAACTCTGATGGACAAAGATGGTTTTTGAATCATCATAGATAGTGCTGCAGTTGCCGCTTTGAAAATGAGAGGCAAGGGGACACATTCCTTCAATGTAGAAACATTATGCTGTAAAACTGGGGGGTTTCCCATGAAAAAAATGAAGCCCACAACTTTCACTGATTGTAGCACCAACTACGATGATTCAAAAACCATGTTTGGCCATTGAAATTACTTTTCTTCTAGTCCAAAATCATTATACAATAAAACTGGGTTTTCCTTAGAAAAAGACTTAACTAATATTTCATTTACATATGCAATGTGATTGAATTGATTCACTTTTTAAAAAATTACTTTTTTTAACTTTATATTTTTTCACATATTTATCTTAAGTAGATTAAATGTCAAAGCTTTAACATTTTCATAGTTTGTTCAGGTAGGAGTTCTATTAATCAAATTTTATATCTTATACTTTAAAATAAAAGAAAAATTTATATAGTTATTGCAAATAATTTTTTCAAATTATAAGTAATCAATGATAATACAAAAAATATCTAAACAAGTTGTTATTTAAATTTCTTACTATTACTTAAGTCTCAATTAAGTATAAAATTTTAAGTCTCATTTAAAGAAAGAAATTCACTGTCAGATTTATATTTTTTTTTTTTTCCACATAAGATATTCATAATATGTTTAGCTATTAAGAACCAAAGCAGATTAAAGAAATAACTTTATACTAAGCATATATATAATTTGGTTCAGAAAGCTTGTATTTTATATTTTTCCAGTATATAGGACAATTTGTAAATAGAATATAGCATTATATTGCTCTGTCTCAACTATTGTTTATACTATGTATTTATCACTAATGATGCTATCAAATTGCTTCTGTGATAAACTCTAGATAGTTTTCTGATGCAATGATATTATATTTTAAACAAAACAAATATCTGTTTAAAATATAATATCATTGCATCAGTTATATAATGTTAATATAATTAAGTTATATAATGTAAATCAAATATTATTTTATTTTGATATTTATCAAATTTTATTTGGTGACAGTTTTGCCATGTTAACATTATATAAATTATATAAACTTTTTGTTCATATATCAACCTTAATGTAACAATGTTATTTAACCCCCTTTGTAATAACATACATTATATCAAATAATAAAGCTTGAGTGATTGATTTATTCTGATATTTATCAATATTATGATAAACATAATAATGAGATAATAAATTTTAGTTTCCTAATTATTTATGATTATGTAGTATAATGGAGAATTTATATAACAAATATATATAAAATAATTTTATGTATATTTTTATTATTAATATACTTCATTTTATTCAAGTACATAGTAATCTATTAATTGTAGATATTTACATAATTAGTGTTAAATTAAGCTTAATATATATGCTTTTCTATTAATGTTTAGATTGCTAAATTTACAATAAAAGATTTTATAGAATTAATATGTTATGTCCAAGATAATATCAATACACAAACATGTGAGTTCATTAAAATTCACGCTAATGAAATTCACAATAGGTAATAGTATAGTTCTAATTTTATTTCTAAAATTAAAATCTTATAATATTTATGAAACAAATTTTAAATGAATTCTTGAATTTATGATTTCAAACTTTCTTTTTTTAACTTAGGAGTTACAGAATGTTGCAAATTGGCTTTATCCCGAAATGAATGTTAGTATGGTTCATAAGAAAATTAATTTAGCTGAAGAAGTCTTGGCATGGGAGCATGAACGATTTAGTATTAGACGTCTACCAGCTTTCACTCTTTCTCGGTTGCATGTACCAAAACTTCTTAGTCGAATGTCAATATTGGACACAAGGTACAAATTTAATTTATGATAAAATTTATATATATATTCATTGTCAAAAAAGTTAAGCATCCAGAAAGACTTATCCAATTTATTAATAAATGAAAGTTGGTAAATATGTCTTAGGCAGGTATGCAAATTATGCCAGTTTGGTGTTAAATGGAACATCAAAATTTTTACCAGAAGGCTTAGGTGCAGTTATCTCATAAAACAGATTACAGCCCAACATAATGCACTTCTTGTGTACTACAGTGAGTGTTCACTTTAAGAAGAGTTCTGAAAGTTGAAGGATGCCTGGAAGATTGATATTAATGTTTTACACGTAAAACATCACTATCAACAACTGACAGACTATTAAAGAGGATTTTGAAAGTTAACAAAGCAGACTGATCATTTCATGCTTTGGCAGACATATGGTGTGTTCAGTTGAACCATTGGGAAGGCACTTGTTGCTACAGCAAACAACCACAAGGGAAACCATTGCATATGGAGAGAATCAAAAACATCACTGTCCATGATACAGCATTATGTATAGGATTCTATATGGCAACCTATATCATACTGAACAACTGCAAGGCAACTGACATAAGCAGAGCTGCATTCTCACTGTCCCCTACATTCTCTGCCACTAACACCAGTACAATCAATGCAGTGTGTCAGGACTGGAAAGCAAGGACAGATGTGCAATGACAGTGAATTGGACTATTTATTTTAAAAGTGGTGCAAGTCAATTTATTGTTGTTTCGAGAAAATTATAGGTTAGCATATTAGTCAATTCAAAAATATAAATTAATTATGTCAAGTCTGGCAATGTTTCTACTAATTTATCATTATGTAATTTGATTATATAAATTTCTTTCAGGCAAATTTAACTAAAATAATATATATTTATGGGTTGTAAATGGACTTACACAATTTTCATAATTAGTCAATTGTAAAAATCATTTAATTTCAATTATGAAAAATTAAATATCACTTAAAATATATTTTGTATTAATCCAATTTTGTTTATAAATAATAACAAGAAATAAAATGGTGTTGTTTATTTTCAACAATAAAGATATTTACTTGTTAAAGTATTTTATGATAAGTTTATCATTATTATGAGCTTATCATTAGGCACTGCTTTTCATTTAGGCTCATTACATGGTTTTTTTTCTTTTCATCTATTTCCATTCTATCAAATTGTGCTTTTGTTGGTAAGATGCAAATGTAATTTATGGACAGCCCATAAGTGCTTAATTAGACTGCAGAAAATGGACTTAAACCACTTTTATAATCAATGGTTATACAATGTCATTTACTGACAAATTTTTAATTGATCAAAGCATATGGTTATTATAAAATACTAAGTGTGAATTGTTTATAAATAAAAATTTTACACTAAATTATATGTAAATTATGCAATTTCTCAATTTTTTCAAAAATGGATTTACACCACTTCCAAAATAAACAGTCCAATTATCTTTAGTGCTTTTGTTTGAGCTCAGATGATCACATTGTGCAAGTGTGGTGGATGATTAGTCCATTTCGTAATCAGACTAATCTTTCATTTATTGCATTTGTGTGTCACTTAACATTACTGTTGAGTGGCACACAGACATTACTTCTTATATTATAGTGTGGGGGCTATTTCATATACTCGATCACAATTAGTCTTGATTTGAAGAACATTGACAACACAGTGGTCTTCCTGAGACTTCATGTGTTATCCTTCTTCAAACAGCAACAATTTTTAAATAAGATATATAGCAAAAGTGTCACTGCAGTCCTTGTGAGGTTTTGATGTTCTTCCTTGGTCTTCCAGATTTCCAGACTTGTTAATAATACGGCATGTATGGAACCAGCTTTGAAGACATTTATGACCATTGCAAAATGTGCAAAACTTTAAAGGACCAGTTACAACAATTGTGGACAAATCTGGCACAAGATAGTATTAGGTGTCTGTATGATTCAATTCTAAGCTGAACATTGACTTGTATCTGTGCCAGAGAAAATTCAACACCATACTAAAGATGCCAATAAAGAATGATGTTACTCCAAATTCTATGGACCATTTGTATTCATTTTGTCATCACTTAATGATCACTTATGATTAATACACACACACACACACACACACTCTCTGTTTTATTTCATTCTAATGCTTTCTTTCTTGATGCTTTAACCTTTTTTATAATGAGTGTAATTTCAACTAAAAAATTTCAGTTTAAAAGTAAATATAAATTTAATTAAATATGAATTTTTCCTTAATTATGAAGTATATAAATATTTGTCTTAAAATTTATTATCTTAAAACTTGTTTATATTTATGATTTATGTACAGTGAGATAGTAGTAGTGGTGACATCTCTGGTTTGCTAGAATATTATATACATTTTCATGTAATTTATATAATTGAATCACACAAAAGCAATTGATTTAAAAGTGAATTTACCTGATTTTAATATTTCTATAATGTTTTTATCAACAGTTACTTCAACATTTTTATTTCCACAGCATAATACCACATTATACATACAAGCATCCATTTTTCTTTGTATATGTAGCAGACAAAAAAAGCTGCTGTATTTTTTTTTGCAGTATCACCATTTCAACAAATGTTTAAGAACAATTTACTACATTATAGTGCTTCATGTAGAAATGCTTTGCTGTGTTGTAATCAATCAGCACTGCATAAAGAAATGAAGCCAAATTATTTTGATGAACAAAATATTTAAATTAGCCAAAATAATTAGTTCTTAATTTTTTTATTTACAATTTTATAACAAAAATAACGATCAGTTATTAACGCCAAATAACATTTGTTAATTCTGGTAAAAATGAGAACATTAGAAATTAGATAATTATATCAAATTAATCATATATAAAAAATTTTTTGTATTCAATTTTATGAAAAACTTTTTATTTCTGATTGTATTTGAAAGAATTATATGATTTCTGATTATGATGATGATAACTTGAAATTAATGTTAATGATATTTAGATATATTTCAATAAAAATATTAGATGATAATTATAATAGTAATTTCCCCATTAATTAAAAAATTTTTATTTACAGGGATAAAGTTGATGTTGATAAACTTGCAAGGAATGTGAAAATCATAGCAGAAGCTTTAGCTCGTCACATGTACAATTTGTCTGGAACATTTAAAGCAGAAATATTCTCAGATGGATTAGTAAGAGAATTAATGCTTTCATTAGAGTTATGACAGCTAGGCACTAAAAATCATATAAATACTTATAAAAATTGTAACTTATATGGTTTTTGAGGTCCTAGATGTTCTAGCTTTACTTATCATATTTTGAAATTGAAATTAATTTTTTTTGTATAAAATTTATTTATACAGGGTCCAGCAAGGAAAACAGGGTTTATAATTAGACTTCTAAATATTTATTAACAAATTTTTACATACAAGATTTCAAACAACATATTTGCCATATATATTTTGAAGATGACATCAAGAAGTGACCTTCATTCATACACAGACACACTGTGTCTTCAAAATATGCATGGAGCAGAGCACAACATATTTTCAGGTGTGTTATTAATTGTGTGATGAATTTTTGCTTGAAGAGTTTCAATATTTTTTGGATGAACTTCATATACCACATTTTTTTGTTCATAAAATATTGAAATTCTTGAGACAAATTCATCATACAATTAATAACACATCTAAGAATATGTTGTGCACTTCTCTATAGTCTGTTGCAAAATTATAAACACACTCACATTTTTGTAAACTTAAATTAAAATTAAAAAATTTGATATAAAAATTTGATATTGTCTTATGGTCTTAATAGTATATTTATTAATTTTTACAAAAATCAAATAATTAAAAAAAATAATAAATTTAATTTTTGTTTTGTTGCAAAAATATAAACACACCCTACTTATTTTACTTATTTCTATTTTAACAATCTTAATAAAGTTTTCAACAATGTCTTGTGGAACAACATTGTCAGAGACAGAGATTCATGAAATTACTTTTTGCGTGGTTCTAATAAATCTTTGAGGCAAATTTCAATTTCTATTAATTGCTCTGTACATGCTGTAAGAAATGTTTCAGCTCAAAGAGAGAATTATGCCAAAAACATAAGACTAGGAAGAACAAAAAGTTTAACTCCCACAGATGAAGTGAGGTTTTTCAACTTTTAACTGTTAATAACATGTCATTAAGAAAAGCCACAGCAAGTTTAGAGTAATTAAATTTTGATGTAATATTTCTTGATATTTTTCTGAATATTTTGTTATCAATGAAAACTAAATTCATTGCATCATCCAATCAGAAACCTGCCCATATCATTACAGATTTTCTTCCTTGTGTCCACTCATTCTCACTTTTTCTCAAATCATGCAAATAGTAGGAAAATTCACCTGGTCCATCTAAATTCCACTTTTTTTGGCCAGAAAATATAATTTATTTCCATTCATCAGTCTATAACATCATATTATTTTTTGCCCACTTCAATCTTGCTCTCTGCCAGGATACTTCTACCACCATTGAATTGGCACAAGTAGGAGACAAACGTGTGAAGCATAGGCGTACTGACGGCATGGCGTGCCAAGTTTAAACTTATATTTTTGTCAGAAATTGATTTTATTTTAATTGGGCTGCAATTTGAAAAATTTGTAGACCTATAAATTCCTACTTTTGTCTGTTTGTCTGTCTATCCTTAGTCTTGAGAATGGAGTTAGATAGATGAAAGATGAGACCGGGTCTGGAAACTTTAGGGGCAGGAGGCCCTGATTAACTATATACAAACTTCCGATGCAAGCCTGAAGTCATGTTATTTCAACTTAAAAATTATCAATATCAAAAGCGCTCAGCAATTAAACAAAGAGAAACAAAACACCTTTTTTGCTGAGAAATAAATATAATTGTAAAAAACAAATGTTTTCAGCCCAATTAATAGGCCATCTTCAGGTCGAAAACGAAAATGGAATGTAAATGTTCCATGAAAAGAACATAAAATTTTTTATTAAAATTTTGAGGTGGAGAGTATATATTTTAAATTAAATGAATTAAAAATTGCAGCCTGGCATTGTGATGATGTCACAATAAATAATTGCTCATTCATTATTATTTTTAATTATTTGATTTTTATAAAAGTTAATAAATATACTATTAAGACCATAAGATAATAGATTGTATTTACAAAAATGTGTGTGTGATTATAATTTTGCAATAGACTATATGCATGACATACTTTGAAGATACAAAGAGTATTGCTTGTTTGATGTCATCTTCAAAACATAAATGATAAACTGTGTTGTTTGAAATCTTGTATATGAAAATTTATTAATAAATATTTAAAAGTTAATAATTGTCCATTTATAATTTCCTATTTTCCTGCCCAGACCCTTTACAAAGAATTTATATTGTAAATCAGTTATCAACTAGATTAAAAAATTTAGATATTAAAATAAAGTTTATTTAAACTGACTACTAAACATGTGTATTACAAGAGATTAAATTTTGTGAAAATAATAATAATTTAAAAAATGTAATACCTACTAGACCAGTGATTCAAACTATTTTTGGTAGCATTTGTCTTTCCTGACAGAACTTTTTATAATCATCTTTTCATAAAATAATCTAAATTAGTGTTTGGTATAATGGCTTTTTCTTCAGTTAAATTTAAGAATTTGTTATAATTTTTATAGCATGCTTATGAATGAACATAATGATGATAGTGATAAGAGTGAATAAAATTATAATGTAGTTCCAAAAAGTGTTCTTTTTCAACTTTAGTCAACATTGATATTTCATCTTTAATTGTTATAAAGTTGAAAAACCATTTTGCACAAATATGATAAGATATTATAAATGGTAGCAAAATATCCACTGATTTATTCTGATTTATCTTCTGGTTGAAAGTTTTAAATTGCTAATTTTTACTATTGCATCATATCCTCCAGGAGCTTATTCCATACTTTGAAAAACATGCACTTAGAAAATAAGATAAAAAAAATCTGATATTGGTCAAGTCATATCAGCATAATTTGTTCATAAAAGAATATTCAATTTTAATTTGTTTGTTTAGTTCTGCATTATATAGAAGACATCTGTTATAAACAGATGAAAACATTTGTAAAAGTGCTAATATTAAATAATATATACTGTTTAGGTGTTTTGTCTGCATTTAAGTAAAATATTCCAATATTGGAGAGTAATTGAATGGCCAAGATAGGAAGAAATTAACAATTCGATTGGCATCGTTCTCTTTCACTTCTTGAAAATAACTTCTCAGATTAGACATTTAATTGTGAATTTATTTCTTATTATTGGTGTAACAAGTGACTATATTGAATATGTATCCAAGTATTAGGAAAAATTACAGTTTTTAAATAATTTTATTCCTTTATAGTTAATAATCATTTTTGTATCTATATCCTTAACAATAGAGATGTAGTTATTTTACACAAAAAATAAATAGTTATTATAAAAAACTAATAATTATTATTTTTCAATGTTGTTATTTGTATTACTGTAAGTCTGTGTGGATAATCTACAATAGTATATACTCCACAGAAAACTGCTATTAATAGAATGGAAATAAAAACCCTCACATAATCTACTTCATATATCCTTCATTTCTGCATCAGTTGTTGAAAACATGACACTTACTGATATTTAATTTAGAAGATGCCATCTGAAACATAAAAATGTTTTACTATTACAATTCATTGTAGCTGTAAATTATAAGATAAGCAAAACTAAAAAAATATAACATTGGGATGGTACCTCCTAAATCTCAATAACTTAATATCCTATGACACAATTCCAAGAGTTACTTATTTGGTTCTTATTTTCTGTGAAGAACTCTAAAGCTTAGTTTAGTTAGACATTCACTAGTGGAAGTAAAAGCAGAATGCAAAAAATCATTTGTTCTCACCTAATGAATTTGATTGTCATTACCATTTTGCAAAATAGCAGCAGCAGCTTTGCTTAACTGTATGTTTATTCATCTGTAGTCTATATAAAAATAAAAATAAAAAACTGAAAATTAAGAATTTTTATCTTTACAGGCTGTACAGAAACAGTTTTTAACAGCTTGGATTGACTATCTCAGTTCCAATTCACGTAGTGCCCAACTTTTAGCTTCCATATCACCTAGACATCCGTTAGTCACAACTCTGGAACAAACAATGGCACGGTATCTTAAAGAAGTACGAACTTCCATTTTTAAACCAGACAGGAGGTAAATCAAATTTTGTTATAGATGTTTTCATATTCATTACATTATTTAAGACTAGTAAGATTAAAATTATTGATGTTTTTTTGTAATTTGAAGACAGTTATTAAATAAATTAACGAAAAACATTGTCAAAATGCCGGGCTGCAATTTTTAATCATAATTTTTAATTTATTTAATTTAAAATATATGCTCTCCATCTTCAAATTAGTAGTGTCTTGCCCAATAAGTAAAAGTATTATTGATGTTTTAGTAATGATGATAAAAATGATATGTTTAAATATATATATTTATAATAAATCATTTATTTGAGTTATCATTTGATTTTTAAATGATCTTGTAGTTTATTAATTTAATTTCCGTAATTTTATTAATATTTTTAATAATTATTTATCCATTTTGTAAGATAGTGAGATCATTAATAGATTTGGAATTGAAAATACTGATAATTACCAAAGTTGAATAATCAAAAATATTTTTGAGATTCCATTAATACCTGAAATGAATAATTTACCAGAAAAGAAAAAGAATTTTTGCTTCTCTTTATTAGATATATAGCCTTATTTAAAATAATACAAAATTATGTTCTAAAATTATTGCTAAATTAAAGGTAAATATTAATAAAAGTNTACAGGTATATTTAAAAACTAAATTAAAAAATTAAACATTGATATGTATATGGAATCCTGATTTTTTGGACATAACACATTTCTTAAAAACTGCATGAAAATTGAATGCCAAAAAGTCAAACAATAGAATTAAATTATAAATTGAGTTTTGTTTTAAAAGTCTTACATAAAAATTAATATTAATGTAGAAATGTTTTAATTTTTACAGTGATTATGCTATAGTGCATAAAACAGACAATTAGAAATTAATTTTTACAAATTATTTTGCTGTTACCAAAATGAAGACTGGCAGAAAGCATCACCACATGATTGTTGAAAATTTTTATTTACTAACCAAAAATGTACAAGAGTCAGAATTTGTCATGCAAAGGAAATTTAGAGTATCAAAGTATTATGTTTGAAAGAGTTAGTTGTCTGAAAGCTGAATGTTTGATTAAAATAAACTTCTCCAAACCTGATATCCAATATAGTAACACACCAACCGAATGCCGAAAATCAATCGGGCTATTTTTATGCTAATTACTAAATAAATTACGTAATCAATTTGGCACTAGAGGTAAGCGTTAAGTGCCATCTCTTATTAATATTAATAATTATNATCAATGGTGCCGCCATTGAAGCTTTTTTTTTTGTGCGGACTTTGTTTTGTTAAGATCCAATTCAAATTTTTACGATACCTCGTCTGCAGGTCGCAAGCCAGGGTTTCCTGGAAGCATGCACCCTTCCGTTCACATCTTCAAGCTCAGTCAGGTTCCGTCTGATTAATAACCATCGATGGTTATAATGTTAGCTTCTATACGCTGGAAGAGGAGATCAAACTGAAGGTTCGGATAGCATAACTGGCAACGCATCTGCACGGTAAGCAGGAGTTGTGGGTTCGAGTCCCGCTCCGGGCCGATTTTTTCTCCCAGCGGTTCTAAATTATTTAAATTAATTAATTTATTTATAATTATTAATATTAATAAGAGATGGCGCTTAACGCTTACCTCTAGTGCCAAATTGATTACGTAATTTATTTAGTAATTAGCATAAAAATAGCCCGATTGATTTTCGGCATTCGGTTGGTGGGTTTCTATATGTTTAATTAAAAGTCAAGGTCTACCTATAATTTAAGATGAATAACTAATGATTATAAATAAAGTATGAATATATGGGTGTCTATTTGCCTGGAAAGTTTGTGATTCTTGGGATTTCTCTTTGCTTGGAAAAATTTGGAAATCTCAGAAAATTTGAGTTGAAGCCTTACAATGTTTAGTTTTCTGATCACACATTTCATGCTAATTCTGTTTCTAATCTTCCATCTTCATGTATTGTTTTATTTGATGTTGAGATCACGACAGAAAAATATATAACACCTTTTTTACATGAAGTTCTTGTTGTATATTTGTCTTATGTAACTTTGAATTTCCTAATTTAAATTTCTTATCTGACTACAGTCATGTAATACCTAATGACATGTTTTTAATATTGTCAAAATCATTGATACTTAATAAATTTATGAATTTTTGCTTTTAGGTTAATCTCATGAAATTTTGATACTCTATTTTCCTATAACTTGATAGTGCTTTATCAGCATGCACAGCAAATGTATTAAGCATCATTATTATTAAGATATTGATATTTGTAGTCATTTGTTTGTTACAATTATAAATATTTTTAAAGTATGAGATCTTTTCATTTTGTTCTTGGATAATGGTCATTACAAAATTCAAAAAGATTTATTTAAATTTAAATAATTTTTAACTCTGTCATATTTTATCTAAAATACAATCTTAAATCAAAAGTTTATGATTAAATATTTATCAAGATTGATAAATAACTAGATTTGCAAGTTAATGCAATAAAATAATCTTGTAATTCTGTATAATACTTTGTGCATTTATGTAATTTAGTGTCATCAATTTTTTAAATGTTTATGAATTTTTCTATGATAGCTATAAATTATAAAATACAAAATACTTTATTATCAAGTATTATTAAATTCTCAGTATTTTATCCAAGCTATTCCAACATTATTTAAAAGTACTATTTAAGAATCATGCCTCTTAATTATCTTCAGATTGTTACATATTGATTCTTTTTAAAAAACTGCAATTTATCTTTTTTATATTCAGGCTATATAAACACGACATCCCACATAAAACTGCACCTCCCTAAACAATAAAGTGTTGATTATGTTAGTTTCTATAATGTTTTGTGAATTATTAAGTTTCAAAGAGTTTCTTGGCTAGTTTTATTTTCTCTCATTTGTTCTAATTTTCTAATATGAAGATTACAATAATTTACTCAATTGGTGAGCCAATTGGGGTTTGATCAGTTTTATATGGGGTCACCCATAGCACACTTTATCCCATTCATAAAAACCCAACTAATTAAAACATTTAATATTAGAAACAGACTTCATATCTAATGCATTTTTTTAACATAACATTTAAATTTATTTTGATTCTTATTCATACTATTCAAACCAAAAACAATACATCAAGTTTAAATAAGCTTATATAGTTTATATGTTGTTTAGAGAAAGGAAATATAAACATTTTTCAATCCAAAGAAGTTTGCAATAAAATCAGTGAAAATTGCTAACTTTTTTAATACGAAAAACATCATTACATCAGTTATTTATTGGCCTCAATTTTATGATTTTTAAGGAATTATGAAAATATGCTAATAATTTGTAAGAGGAGTGTTCAAAAGTTCCAAGAAGGGACATATAAATAAAAAATATATGAATACAGTTTTTTGTAATTTATACAAGACCAGTTTAATATGTTTGTGATAGTAATCATAGAAATATCTCATGTTTATGTAATTTTTCTTATTTTTATTTTAAAAGATTTCAGTAGCAAAACTATTTTAAAATTTGTCATGGAAAATATAGAAGAACAAATAAATCAATTTATTTCTGAAGGCCAGTCAGTCAGTACATTTATGATACCTTTTAATTACAATTACACAAAATAATTTTCCTGAAATGACCCAAAAAATTGTGAAAGAAAAATTGGAAAATTGGCTATTTAATGACAATGATGCCAGGCTGCGTACAGCTGTTACAATCATTGCTTATTTAGTAAAACATGGAATTGTTAATTTTCCACAATCACTGTTCTCTGGTTTAATACCTGTTTATTGAAAGTTGAAAAACTTTAAGGGGTAAACAATTGAGCCAATAAAACTCATACAAGACAAATCAAAGAAAATTTTGCAATTTCAGAAGAAGCTGATTTTTCTAAATGCTTCCTCAATTACGAGGAGTTGCTAGAGAAAATGTGATAAAGCTCAGGGTGATTATTTTGAAAAGTACTAAGATATAAATAAATTTAATATATTTTGATTTTTTTATCCATTCCTGGAACTTCTTGAACACATCTTGTTCATAATAATCTGTATAATTCTTTGCAGATATTTTCTGTTAATTAATATAGTTTACATATAAATTTTTCTACTTTTTCTTTACAGAGTGAAACCAGCTGTTTTTGATCTTTTCCTTGCAGTTGCAATTGCAATATATTTATCCATTGTTTATTTCATCATAATGGTAAATTACAATTGTAAATTACTTAAAATTTTATAATAGTAATGAAATAATATTAAGTGAAAGATGTAAAACTTGTTATAAAGAAAGTAGTAATAATGGGTTACATTATTATCATAAATTCAAAATTGTATAAATAAAGTTATATTCGACATTTTAATTATATTATTAAATATTTTTAATGCCCATTTTGATCAAAGAACACATCCAACATTATATTTCTCTCACTGCTTTGAATGACCTTGGATTTCTGGAGAGAAGATACTGGATGTTTCCATTAGAGACTTGTGTTTGCATTCAAAATGATAGCATATGTTTCATTAACATAATTTGTGGCAGAAACTTGTCTCCTTCCAGCCTACATTATGTGAGATGCTCCAACAAATTGATATTCAGGTGATGAGGAATCCATTGTCTGAAGATGGTTTCTAGTGATATTGTGAATGGAACCATAACTAACATTCATTAATTGGCAAGTTTGCCCTCTGTGATGCATGTTATTGTGAATGAGTTTGTCTATCATTCATCCAAAAGATATTTTCAGATGATCCATCTGAGTAATGTTGCTTGCCAACAAAGGATGCCCTTTTTGAAATGACCTACTCCAATAAATGATTGTCAGTGATATGCTATTCCCATCATATACTGCTATTATTTGTAGATGAGTTTCAGATGGTCCTGCTCCTTCTGCAGTCAAAAAATGCACAGCATCTCTACATTTTTCCTTTGTCAAATTCATTGCTATGCTTGGACAGAAATGTTACGCATCCAATGTTCATGGTCTCTTATTCACATCAATAAGTGTGATGTTTGAGAATGTTTGAGAACATTCTTTGTAGATGATTCGCTTTTGCATAGTGTTGTCAGATCTCACATGATTATTGAACTTTATTGCATTAATGGATTTTTTGACCCTCATAATTAAAAACTAATTTAAATATCATCTCAAAATTAATAAATAAATATAATGTCTTTATTTATGAAAATCATCTACAATGAAAATAAGAGAATATTCAAATTTATATATATATACATTTTAGATATGTAAACAATATATAATATTACCTATAATTTGTTAATTTAAATTTTGATTATCAACGAATTCTGATAGATTATTCATTCAAGAAATTTTCATTTTTCATATCTGTAAAAAAAAAGTTTATTTTGATATTTTAATCAGTTTTTTTTTTAAATCCTTTTTGTTACTAGTTTTTTGTTTAGATAGCATTGTTAATTTGTAAGGATAAAAGAAAACTAAACAAAAATCGCTTCACAGAACAATACACTGACAGTCACAATACATATTAAAATAATGCAAGAAATTAAGAGATCGCATCCACTAGCATAGTCTAATGGCCAACAATACAAATACAAGAGAATGAATCTAACAAGGAGAGGGTCAGATGTTTGGGTCTCCAATTTGGACAGAATTTGATGAGGATGTAACCCTAAATACAAATAGCTCCTTATCCAAATGATAGGACCACTTCTCAAATGTTTCTGAAAAACAGACCTCTGAAAATTGAGTAAGTCTTTGGAAGTTTCCCATCTCTTCAAAACAGTGATAGATGAGTGGATAAGCCACTAGGCACTGGAACTACAGGATATAGGTTTGAACTTTTGCAATTTTAAGTTATTTTTAATGTGTAACAATTATTTTATTATTTTACGGTATCATTAGCATTATTATTATTACTGTTATTCCTCACGTTTAAAGCCTATAAAACACAATTTTAAAATTAAGTCATTTCCTGTTTAGCAAAGAAGTCTCCATAGATTAAACTCTTTTATATCATTAAATAAAAATTTTTGGTTTTTTTTTTAATGTTTATTTTCAGATATGGTGGTATTGTTATATTTAAAGTGTAACAAATATGAGCACATGAGGAAATTGTTCATAACATTAACAATTAAAAAAATACTGCAACTATGGCTATACTATTTTCATATCAGACTAGTCTTTTTTGTCCATGCATAGTAACATCTGGAGCTTTTTTTGCTATGGTTACATAGTACATGGGCAAAAATATCTAAATATTAATGCCCATTTTGATCAAAGAACACAGTCAACATTATATTTCTCTTGCTGCTTTGAATGACCTTGGATTTCTGGAGAGAGGATATTGGATGTTTCCATTAGAGACTGGTGCTTGCATTCAAAATGATAGCATATGTTTCATCACCAGCCATAATTTGTGGCAAAAACTTGTCTCCTTCCAGCCTACATTATGTAAGATGCTCCAACAAATTAATATTTAGATGATGATGAATCCATTGTCTGAAGATGGTTTCTAGTGATGTTGTGAATAGAATCATTACTAAATTGAACTAAATTGCAAAAGTTTGAACCTATATCCTGTAGTTCCAGAGCCTAGTGGCTTATCCATTCATCTACCGCTGTTTGAAGAGATGTGAAAATTTCAAAGACGTATAAGGTAAACACTCAATTTTCAGATTGAGTTTTTGGAAACACTTGAAAAGTGGGTCCTGTTATTTGGACAAGGAGTTGTTTGTGTTTGTGTGTGTGCGGAATGATATGTTAAATAATTAATAATATATTATGTTAATAAATTGTCATTTTTTATCAATTGACAATTACTTTATTTATGAAATTCTTTTCGTTTCAGAATTTTTATCGAGTAGAAAGTTTCCTCAGACAGCTGGCTAGTCCAGTGAAATCTAAACAGACTTAAAGCATGCGGCGCAACATCACAATAATAAAAACAATTGACATTATTCCTACTTATTTACAATGTATAGTATTAAGAATTGTGACGTATTCCAACCGATTTAACCATATTTCCATAATGTTGTGATACTCCAAATAGAATTTGGATGTGTACAAGATTAAAAAAACAAATTCCTTCTTCTGTGTCTGAATCTTAAAGATTTTCGTACCAAGAAAAAAAAATGAGATATTGATTAAATTGTTAGTGAAAACAGGTAAGCCAGACTCTACAGCAATAACAAAATAAACCACCTTTTATTAATAATCGAAATCAATATTGGCTGTAAGATAATTTTTTCGTAAAATAAATTACGACCTATGTATCATACGGGTAAAATTATGTTACCGAGTTAATAAATACAATATCACTTGCCTAAATTTGTTTCTCTGCTTTGATTTTCTAATCCAATAGAAGTTTTTGTAGATTCATCTAATACGGGACTCTCCGAATCAATCGTTGTTCCTGCTAAATTGGCTTCCTGAGTGAGTTTGGGGCCAATTTCGGGAATTTTTCTTAAGTCAGAAGCCAAAGAACTGATTTTTGCATCTTTATCTAAAGTCATTTGTCTTTTAATTATAAATCTTAAGTCTTTTTGACAAAAGAATTCTGAAAATAAGAATTTCAATGAAATTGACTTCAAAGTATTAAGAAAAATGAAAGATAATATTACACATTTACAATTTATATCAAGCATATTTCAAAACAACAGATACATATGAATATTTTTTTGCAGATTAGGATACAGATAAAGCACTTTGAACAATTATTTAGTGGATAAAAAGTTCCTGTGTTTGACATTAGATTACATCCATTGTCACCTACAGATGTGTTGTAGATTAATATATTAAGTATAATATATAACAAGGTAAGTATGACAATCAGTCGAAAAATGACCGATTGTCATACTTATCCTCCTAAGTTTGTTTGTTAAGGCAATGCAACATTTGGGCAATCTGTCTAGGGGGATACCTTCTGATAGGTTTTTTAAGGGAAACTGGACCCTATTTAGGCATTATAGATGTAGAGAAAACCCAGAAAACTCCACATGGCCAGCCCGTCCGAGAGAAGTGCTAACCTGTGACCCTAACTCCCGGTGTTCAGAATACGAAAACTGCTTGGCCACTGGTGGGCCCTTATCCTCCTAAGACTTACATTTTTTGGGCTCGGGACCTTAAAATGTCGAGAAATTTAAAAAATTGGGGGGTTTTCTGTGTGTGAATGTTTTTAGTCTGTGTGGGGGCATGATTTTGTTCTCCCACTTTGAAGCTTAATAACTCCTGTGCTTTTTATTGAAAATTTATGAAATTTTGCAAAGTTTCTGCCATTTTATAATTATTAATAATATAAAAATTGTGCAGTTTGGCTGGGAGATGACCCAGAATTTACCCTACAGTCTGATCTTGGCTCCTTCAGATTTTCATCTGTTTGGTCCCATGAAAAAAATTCTTGGGCATGCCCAGAAATTAGAGTTTTTGAACAAGGTATAATAAACTGGTGACAAGATGGGAGAAATGTCTTGAGGAACACTATTCTTATGTTGAGAAACAGCTAACTTGTAAGACAACTTTGTGCTTATTTCACATTTTATCTAGCCTTTAAATTATTTGAAAAAATCCTGTGCACTATTGTTTACTTTTTAATCTCGTAAATTAAACATATCTATCACCTATAGTAATAGAATATAAGGGGGTGTTTAGAATGCAGTCAATTGTGCTGTTGTGATTATATTAGTAGTTAATTAAATTGCATGTTGCAACCTAATCAGTTAATTTCACTATGTCGTAATATAATTATTTTAATTTGAAAAATATTGTAAATTATAAATCAGCCTATACATGTAAAATAACTATTGTAAACTATCAATACATAACTATAACAACATAAAAAATTGTGTACCCATTTTTATTTTAACATTTAAACTTGTGTAATATTATCTTTATTGGGATATTTTTCAAAATAATTAATTAATTCAGTAATTTTACCTGAAGTCCACTGTGTAATATCATCAGGTTGCACTTCCAATAAGTCTCTAGATATAACAGTATAACAAAGTAAATAATTTTCTGACAGAGTATACTTACTTTTATAATCTAATTTTACTTATGCATTAAAGATTAAAAAGATAATTATAATAATTTGGTGTTTTGACGTCAGATTTTGTAGTGTATTTCATTTAATCTACCTTTCATTAGCTGCAACTGATCAATGATGGCTGCACCCATGAAAGAAAATAAAGATGATATATCAATACAAAGGTATTCATTGCAGCATTAATACGCCAATAAGTGTTCGTGAACCACTGAAAACAGGTATGTCTAATATAAATTTAAGAAAATAAAACCATCTTTAACTTAAACACAAATTTGTACATGTGAAAGCAGAAACTATATCTAGCGCCAACTTCATATTCCAACGCATAGGTCAATTATCGTTCAGGAGATTTATATTCCGCACATTCCTTTATTCAGTATGCTTGCAGCACTTTTAGCACATGCATTCAATCTAAGTCTATTGTCAGGGCATTGGCAGCATCTCTCCACTATGCTGAGAAGATGGATGCCTCCATGCAAAAATATCTTTTCAGACTGCCTAATAATAATGTTTTTTGCCAGTTTAAATGACCAAGATTTTTGCCTCTCTTGCTTCAAGTAGCTTTTTATAATCTATAATGTATAAGAATAAAAATCTTTTATTGGGCTGCAATTTGAAAAATTCTTGACCTATAAATTCCCTATCGTCTGTTTGTCTTTCCTTAATAACGAGAACGGAGTTAGATGGATGAAAAACGAGACCAGAAATGGGAACCTTATGGGAAAGAGGCCCCAATTAACTACATACGAACTTTTGACACAAACGGGAAGTCACGATATTTCAATTCAAAACTTCCCCTGAAAGCAGTTAACAGAAGACCGGCACGACTCTAAGGAAAAGTATGATGTACAGGGGCAAGCCACTAATTTGAAGTGGAGAACCTATATTTTTAATTTAATTTAAAATATGATTAAAAATTGCAGCCCAGCATTGTGACCATGTCACAATAAATAATTGCTCGTTATTTATAATTATTTTACCTTGTTTTCGTTTATGAAATCAAAACTTTGTCTATAAAATGTAGTTTTTGTTTTTTTTTTATTTACAGATTCCAGCAATCTGTGCTGCAATATTTTAAGAAATAATAAAATTTTGTCTTCTGAAGTAGAGTTATTCTCGTTAAATAACAAAAATACATAAAGTATTAAGAGAAAATAAGGATACCATAGGTAGGATATAAAATTAACCCATTATTGTCTTAAGTTATTTATTTTATATATACATTATTGAATTTTCAAATTATACTGTGTATGAACCCATGTAATTAAATTTGTAACTTTTTATTAAATGTATAATAATTATCTTGAATGTAGGACACTGGGCATTCAAAATGGTAAATGAATTTATTACTTCTAGACTATGACATTTTTGAGGATATAAGAATTTATTATATATATAAATGTTAATTTTTCTTCTGGAAAATATTAAATAGCAAGAGAGTTTGAAATATTAAAAATAGATGAGTGAAATTAAAAAAAAATACCTTAAGTATTTTCGAATAATAGATTTAATTTCAGGATGATCTTCGAAATATTTTTCGTCATCTCTTAATATTTCTTCCTACAAGAAATTAAATATTTATTATTTAACATAATATAGATCTATATTCTTTCAAATTCGTCATCTCTAATTATCTCCGAATTTAAAATATAAGAATTAGTCTTAAATTTCGATAGGAAATGCTTTTATACCTTCAATCCTTCAATTCTTCTCATCGCAACTGCATTTTTTAATAAATTAGCAATCGATACTTTTCCAGGAATTGACATTTTCAACCGAAAGCAGTACAAAATTTCTATAGAATAGAATAAAATATCGGTCTACAATTTCGAATTCAATTTTTAAATGAACAATTCGATAATAACAAAAAGAAAATCAAATACAATTTAGAATTGTATTCGATTTTACAAGACCGCGTTTTTATAAGAAGAAAACATTCCGTATTTAAATTTCCCTGACTCATAAATTACCCGAAAAAGTCCACACGAAAATTGGGCACCACCGTCATAAATATGCTCACACGGAAAATTACTAACACCGACAGGAAAAAATGAATAAACAATAATAATTTTTGGTATGCTATAGTCAGTATTTTCAGCCTTTTTCTTATAGTGGTATACCAGTTTGATCATTTTTCCCGCGGCGCCCCTACATCTTTATCAATGCAGAGCTGTTGCGTCTTTAGTATTTTCAGTAATATTGATACAATATACACAAGAAATGTTACGGCGCTGCTCAGCACTAAATTTCACGGCACTTAGATCCACCGATAGGCGAATGGATAAAAACACAAAACAAGTGACAGTTGGTGGCGTGTTTACGTCTTACCAACGGTTGGCCACGTGGAATTCTTCGAGTGCCTAACATTTAAATAAGGAGTAGTTTTTCATAGAAAATCCTCCCAGATAACACTCCTGAAATTTTGCAGGGAGGTTGTTTATTAGGTGTTTGATGCTATTAAATTTTGGTGATTAAAGGTCGACGGGGTGGGGAGATAAAAGGGATGGTGTGTCATATCTCGAGCAGGGACTGATTTAATTGCGATTTTACTCGTTAGCATTTACAATTATCTATACTAATATTATAAAGAGGTAATGTTTGTATGTAAGTAAGTTTGTTTGCAGCAGGTAATCTCCGAAACTACTTATCCGATTTCAAAAATTCTTTCACCAATATTTAGAATAGAACCTCAGGGTGGACATAGGCTATATATTATTCCGTTAAACATTCGTATAAATTAAAATATATAATCTAGGTTAAGGCTTTTATGTCCAACAGATGGCGCTACGAGTACGACGTCCTAAGTTTGCTTTTCTGTGAAAATGAACTAAAGCAGATCATCATCTATCTATCTATATAAATAAAAATGTAATGTTCGTTTGTTCCTACCGATTCCTTTGAAATTTTGACACAACGCTGCATTCGAATACGCACGTGTTTTTATATAATATACGTGTCGAAATTCCCCCACTGAAAGGAGATGGTTAGGATTAAGGCTCACGGTAAAGAACTCTGCTTCTATTTATACTATTTTAGATGCGGGTTTTTGCGTTTTAATAGGGTACGTCAACAGAATGTACACTAAAAAGGGATTTTCTAATATCCCCCCGCGAGGGAGAGGGACAGAATTAAGGCTTACCGTGAAGAACTTGGCTTCTATTATATTATTTTAGATGCGGGTTTTTGCGTTTTTGATTGCGTTTTAATAGGGTACGTCCAGAGAATGTACACTAAGAAGAAATTTTTCGAAAAATTTCCCTCCCCACCGGGGAAGTGTTATACATTTATACATATAATAGATACATTTTGAGCCACAACAACGCGTGGCGGGGTCTGCTAGTTGTTTTATATTTTTAACTATTATAAAATGGCAAAAAGCTTAATTTTAAGGGTAGGAATAGGTTTTATTTTTTAAAAATTGTAAATGCTAATAACGAGTAAACTCATCATTGTCTGACCCTACTGAAGATACACACGACCCCTTTTATCACCCCACCCTCGACCTTTAATCACCAAAATTTAATAGCATAAATCCCCTTAATAGCGAGGTTGAGGCTGAAATTTTAAACGCGAAGACGTGTACGCCGGACGTTCAGCGCCGCTTTCCTGTAAGCCTAGGAGTTTGACAATGGTGTTTGGATAGTCAGTGGAATCATGCTCGACATTCCAAATATCATTGTCAAACTCCTAGGCTTACAGGAAAGCGGCGCTGAACGTCCG